CCCCTCTCTCTCCTCCTCTCTCTCTCTCCTCCTCTCTCTCTCCTCTCTAGCTATATTCATTTGGTAAAGGTAGTGGTACTGGTCTAGGGACTCCTGATACATCATACAGTACACCACAACTGATCCAGTCACTAGCTGATGTTATCATTATTGATGTTACTACTGGTGATGGACACTGTCTAGCACTAACACAAAGTAGATTATACATACATGTACATGTACATGTACATATACTGTATACCTTTTGATTGTTGTGCTGGAATAGCTAAAATGACATGTAATACAATTAGATGTATGTACAATAAAAATGCATGTAATATATTCTATACTGTACAAGATAATTTATTGGCGGGAGTCATATTTGACAAATTTGCCTGTGGAAAGAAATTGGCAAATTTTATATTAGCTATTTTGTGCCATGTGCCATTGAGCATGATGCTCAAATTGAAACAAAATGGCTGATTTTATATTGACAATTTCTTTATAGAACCACCAATCACCAATATTAATTCCTCACCAATAAATCATCTTGTATGATACACTTATAATTATTACAGAATCATGTACATTTATTGTTGTTATTTTTGTTGTTGTTGTTTTTGTTATTGTTAGGAGGTGATGTGTATGGGTGGGGCACTAACAGCATGGGTCAGTGTGGCCAGGGACATAACAACAACTCCATCAGTAAGCCTGGTAAAGTGGAGGGTCTTGATGGAGTACAGGTACAACAGATCTCTGCTGGTACCTCACACAGCATTGTATGGACTGCTATACCTAATGACAGGTACGTGTACGTTACTGCCATAGTAATAATACTATTTCTGATCTTCTTATGCTTTGTAGAAGTTTGAGCCGAATTTGGTTCTGAAGTTATGAATTTTTTTAATGTTCCAGTTTTTTTAAAATTACCCTCCATGCTTTTTCCAAAAATTGGCTCAGAAATTACCCTAATTTTTATTTTATTTTTGATGTCCTTATACTATGTATAAGTTTGAGCTGATTCTGATTTGTGTTTATCCTCTTTCCCCTTCCTCCAGGTGTGCTACTGCCGTGTGGCACTGGCCTTACTGTATAAGCGTCGAAGAGAAAACCTTTGAGAACCTGGTAAAGCTAATAGAGAAATACTGGGAGACAAGGAACGACACACCAACACCACCTTTTGTGACACTAGAGTGAGTCTCTTTCTCCTCTCCTCTCTGGACTAATGATAATAAATGTTACTCTTTTTTTATATTCATTTTATAGATCACAGGAGTCCTTTGTATATCATTGCCTATCATTGCTCCAGATTCATTTGAATTCAGTTGTGTCCTCTGGCCCAGATCTTGTACACATCTCTATTGGTGGACACACTAAACCATTGAGAAACCTCCTCATGAAACTAATGGACTCACACCTACCACCTAGACTAGATACTGTATGGTCTTGTTACTATTAATAGATTTGAGTGTGTTACTATTTATACATGCACATGTACATATAGGTATGCAGTGATACTATTGAGGTATGCTCTTCAGTATTGTTGCCACCCACTCTTGATCGGGTTAAGCTCCTCCTCAATCTCCTCCCACCCGATCCGAAGCATTTTAAGTCCCTCACTCCAGGACAGGTAAGTCGTTTGACCGGTTACGATAACCCGTTTGACTGGTTATTGAACAGTATCGTCAGACGGAGCTGCTGCTGAATGGCTTCACTGATGATGTAAGTAGAGGAGACATTTCTGGACTGCTAGTTGATGAAGACTACTTGAAAATATGCGAAGAAGATAATAGTGATAATCAGTAAGGTCCTATTTGACTCTTTTTTTATTTTTGTTTATTTTCTGCTAGTACTGACCCATGTGATTGGCCTGGCAGTGCTGTCAGTGATGATTTATTTGCTCTCACTGAGAGAATGGCTCACTATCTTGAGCACCATGCAGTAAGTAGTTTGCTAAGTACACATATACCATATAGTGGGTTTTTTGAGGATAATACTTTCCACGATTGACCTGTATCCGGAAGTTCACAAAATTAATTTTCGTGAATTTCCACTATTCTGCCATCTTGTACCGTATTTAATTGATTTTCAAGAAATTTAATTTTGCAAATCTTAAAAAAATTCGCAAAATTTGGGAAATTTGTTATCCTCGATAAAACCTGCTATACGGTCCATCTTTACTACATGTACATGTACATGTACATGTACATGTAATAGCGCTGTATGTATCAATATTACATGTACATGTACATGTAGGTGTCTCATTAAGTATGCGCTCTATAGTGTTGTTTAGTGCTAAGAGTAGAATGTACTCTTCTCTTGTTTATATTTATTTATTATATCACAATAACGTTTTAATTGTTTTGTTCCAGAATGAATTCCATTTAGTGTGGCAATGTGTGCCCTTTTGCACATTCCTATTATTGTGTGCGTGTTTAATATCCTATTTCTGTTTTTGTGTTTCCACATTTTCACTGGATCATATTTCATGTTTTGTTTTTGCCTTATATGTACATTTACCACTCTCTCTCTCTCTCACTTTCTCTCCCCTCCTCTCTCTCTCTCTCCTCCCTTTTTCTCTCTCCCTTCCCTCTTTCTCTATCCCCCTCCTCGCCCCTCCCTCTTTTTCTCCCCTCTCCCTCTCTCTGTCCCTCTCCCTCCCCCCTCTCTCTATTAGTATATGAGGTCTAATGGTGATTCTGATAACATTGTCCCTGATAAGATATTAGAATTGTTTGATAAGTTCATACTCCACTGTTACTGCAATGTGGTGTCATTTCTCTCTCAAACTGAGATCCATGGACAAGAAGATCGAGTCAATTTTAAAGTAAGCACATGTACATTATACGTGTATAAAAATAAAACTACATGTACATGTACAGTACAAGTAAACTTACATACACATGTACAGTACAATATGTTAGATAGTATATTAGTGTGTTCTGTATTTTTGAGTATATTTTGTATTGCAGTACATTACTGATACACGTACATGTACAATGTAGTTCATCATGTACAATACGTACATGTTTTTTTTAAATAATGAAACATACTGGTATGATAATAAAAATACAGAGTGTGTACATGTACTTATGTGTGTCTGAGATGTACAGATGTGTACATGTACTTTTAATCATTTTCCTACGTATAGTACTTGAGCAATGTTTTTCTCATGCAGTACATGTCATCACTGTTGCATTTGGTCATAATCATGTACACGTAATCAATGAATATTCCTTATATGTACATTGTACATGTACAATGTACATGCATTTTTCTTGGCATTTACATGTAGTTGATCACATCTTTAATGTCTTATTTGTTTAATATTTCTATTACTACTAAAGAGATAACTTTCTGATGATCTCTCTCTGTTTGTATGACAATATTTGAAGTGCATAAATAGTTTAGAGGCTATGACCTAATAGCCATCCAGTGAAGTGTAGGTGTAGTGAGGAATGTCAACTGAATATTTTAATAACTGGCTCTGTTACTGATGCCAATTACTCCTATTAAATTATATTTTTATACATGTACGTGTACATGTATGTTTTTTGTCACTTCCACGTGTAATAAATACATGTACATGTATATTAGGTGCTTAACAATTTAACATAAGTACATGTAGTAGAATTGTACTTGTAAAATACTATTTATATGTACATGTATGTATATTTTTTCATTTTTTTATAGGATATGCCAGTTCAGAGACGCTACATCAGTACATTTATTAAAATCATTGAAGGGATATCTCTCCCTCTCCTTGCCTCCCTCTCATCTGTCTCTAGTGCTCATGATGTTGAGAAAAATGAGAATATATTGAAGAGCTTTATAGTGACAGGGCTAGCCAGCCATATTGCTTTATCTGTTGGTGCGACCATAGATAAGGAATGGTTTGGAGAGACTGTGAGAAGGTACATTGAAGCATATTTTAAATTTACATATATGCATACTTTCTCTCTCTTTCTTGATCCTCTTTCTCTCTCTTCTTTTCCTTCTCTCTCTCTCTTTCTTTCTCTCTCCTCTCCCTTTCTTTCTCTTTCTCTCAGTCGATATATCTTACTTGAGGATCTGTTCATTAAATTAGCAAAAGCTGTTCATAAGTTGTTAGCATTCAATAGTTCAAGGACTTTAGAAATAATGCAGATTGGTGAATTAACCCATCAAGAAGGTATAAGAAAACACTTATTATTATTATTATTATTATCATCATAATTATTCTTGTTCTTCAGATATACCTCCTAGTTCAGATGATATATGGTATTACTTGATGCACTTTGAGCAGTTATTGTGCTATGCTGCTGGTAAATGTATCTATCACACTGGTGATATTATAGAGGTATGGTACATGCTCTTTTTAATAAATAAGTAATGTAAATGCATACATGTATGTACAATGTGTACATAAATGTAAAGTAAAACACATGTACATGTACATACAGTGAAATATAGAGAGAAGGGGTATGATTTGTGGAAGGGTGTTTTTTTAGAAACACGTGTAAATGAATCATTATCGTTTCTCTTCTCTCATTTGTAGCGCACTATACCAGATGAGATTGCTACTCGTTCCATTATACTGGGAAAGGATAATGATAAGAGTGTTAAGGATGGACAGCTAGTGGCATTACCTGGGGGTGAAGATGCCTATCCACAAGGTACAGTGTATATACTCTCATTATTATAGTGTATAAATTTGCTGGTTACAAATACATGTACTGTACCATAGATTGTATATCTACATGTGTACTAGTGCCACGTGTATAATGCTTCTTTTTCTTTCCCTCCTACATGTAGCTATACTCAAATGGTGCAGGCTATGTAAGACGCTATCAGTTAACACTAACACTGATACTGATTCTGATATTAATGATAATTGGGATTCTGTTAAATCAGATTACATGCTCTGGACCACTTATGACCCCAATTACCCTATACACATACCTTGTGATAAAGACATCAATGACATTGAAGCTTTGAAGCCAGAGGTACATGTACATGTACATCTACTGTACATGCATTTTATTTATTTATTCTTTATTATTATTTTTATAAATTATTCATTTATTATTATTATTATTGTTATTATTATTATTATTATTATTGTTATTATTATTAGGAGTGCAGTGTGCTAGAAGCACTTGCTGTTGGATTCATTGATGGTAATCCTGATGCTGACAAACTCTATAATGACATGATGTCTATTGCTAGGAATAAAAGTAATTCATAGTGCACTGTACATGTACATGTACTGTATATTTAATGGTATTAATGGTCTCTTACCCATCTCTCTATATAATGTATTATTATTAACATGTACATTTACATGTATATGCATTTCCACATGCAATCAATAATTATATATATATATACATGTACATACATGTATATTGATCTCTTTATGTACATGTACATGTACATATATCTATATCTCCTCTCTCCTTTCCTTCTCCCTCTCATTCTCTCTCTCATTCTCTCTCCTACACCATTTACATTGTATAGATTGGAACACAGTCTCAGATGAGGACTCACTCCCATTATTAAAGCAGCTCTCATGGGCAGCACTGGCGTGTTACATTCATCACAGTGGGCTCTCTTACAAGGCACTCCATGGGAAACCAAAGCAGGAGCTCATTGATGTGTATAGAGCTGTCTTCCAATTAAGGAAAGAAATATTCATACAGCGACCTGTGCCTGATTCCAATGGAGAGGTGGGTGGAGTATTATTATTATTATTATATTATTATTACTATGATTTATTTATTACTGTATAGTATAGAGGGTATATTTCCTGGGGAATGAAAATCACCTTTCAACCCATTTATAAGAAAATTTTTTTTTGCGTTTTTTTTCTACTGAGTACTATTAAATGATTAAAAAATAATTTTCACAGACAAAAATTTTCATGAGTTTTTTTAAATTGCCAAATTAGTGAAATTAAATCCCCATAAAATATAATTATCTATACTGTACTGTGTACTATTTTTGTTTCTATTTTAGGTGTCTGAGTTGTCTAATAAGGTGTTCACTGGTAGAGTCATTGATATTTGTCATATGCTCTACTTCATGATGTGTATCTGTGATAATTCTGTACTGGAGGAGAACACACCAATCATACCCCAGATCACTGCAATAAGGTGCAGGGATTATCAAATACATACACATGTACATGTACATGTATTTTTTAATTTTAATTTTCTTTTATTTTTAATTTTCTTTAAATTTATTTTTTATTTTTTAATATTATTTTAGTGCTGAACGTCAAGTCTCAGTTGATAGTATTATAAAATCAGGTACTGGTCGATCTGGAGCCGTAGGTGGAGTAGGAGGTGTGGCCAGATCATCAGTACAACTGGTCACTGATACTGGTCTGACTGGTTTGACAGTTAAATCTCATACACTGACGAGGCTAATGTCACACCCAGCAAAGACTGAGAGAATAAAGCAGAATAAGCAAACTGAGGTATTTTATTATTATTATTATTGTTGTTGTTGTTGTTATTGTTTGTTTGTTGTTGTTATTTACATACAGCATGTTGATGGGACCGTTTCAGATGAAGATGTTAATAACAAGAGTCTAATGGAAGCTGACATAGAGTCATCACTGACCAGCAACAATACTCCTGCTACTGCTGTGCATGCTACCAGTGGCTCTGCTACTGATGCTACTGACCCTACTGGGGCTACTGGTGAATGGTCACTGGAGGAGGTGAAGAGAGCATTGTCTTTATTGAAATGGCAGAGAGAAAGGCATCACCATCAAGTATGTACATGTACATTGTACCTTGTCTTTTCTTATATTTACATGTACATGTACATGTATTGTATTAACATTTATTTATTTTTATTATTTAAGCATAATGCATTATTTATGTGTTTATTTTTTTATTTAATTTTTTGTTGTAGGTTCAAACGTCACCATCAACCAGTTCATTCATTTCCAAAGTCTGTTCATTTTTCAATTCTTTTTTGACGAATATTTTCGAAGACGAAGAAATCAGCATAGGAGAAATGCCATCGCGTGACAAGATACTAACATTATTAATATATCAGACCCAGAGATCACAGGCAAGAGAGAGGGAGAGAGAGAGAGAGAGAGAGAGGGAGGGAGAGAAATGTAATTATAGGATTTATGTACATGTACATAGAAGGAACTAAAAGGATGAGGGAATGCATCATGTGCCATATATCCTTAAATAAAAGCCGAATGCAAATAAATGCTGGGGTAGCAATAGAATTGAACTAAATCTATGGCCTCAAAATAACAGATGCCTTGTAGATACTTCCTTAGGTTCCTGAAGTCATGTGAATGAGGTCACTGGTTTAAATCCTGCTCTGGGTTCAAGTTTTATTTTACTTAGAAAAAAAAAATCCAAATGCCATTTCAAGAAATAGGTGCCCAGGCTTTTATTTAAGGAAATATGATGCATATATACTGTACAGTAGCTTTTATTGTCTCTCTCTTTCTTTAGACACTCATTTCTATGTTCAAGAGGATCGATACTTTCATTCAGACATTTAGTGATCCCAACAGCATCTTATTATCATCAAAACTGCTCTACCTAACACACTCAATACACGAGTGCCTCTTTGAGCCAGAATATGATGTAAGATTTTGTATCCCTGTTGTTGTTATTCAATGTCAGGCCCTATTATGTAACAGCCTAATAATAATATTATGTAATTAGCAACGCAGCCAAAGACATTAACAATGTTAATTAGGAGAGGGAGAGCCCAGAGAAGTAGCAAAACAAAAAAGGAATAATAGTTATAATATTATTATTATTATTATTTAAATATTATACAAAAAACCAAGAGACAGAAAGCAAAAACCTACACTATACCATGCATTGAAAAAAATTAAAGCTTAAACTTATGATATAAGAATAAAAAAACCAAAAACAGGAAAACAAAAAAAGGCAAAAGAACAACTAAAATCATCATCATCATCATTAACATTAGTATTATTATCATCATCATTATTATTATTGGTATTGTTTCATTAGGTTCCTCATGCCCCATTGAGACTGCAGCACCAGCTAAAGAGCATCTATCATAAAATCCTCCATCAAATGATATCACCATTGAACTCCATCACTACCAGCAGTCACCCTAGCATCACTGCACAGAACAACCTACTCCTATCATTATACTGGCTCTTTACTGCACATGAACCAACAGATCTTAAAACTGTGCTATCAGGTAAGAATTAATATACATGTACAGTACATGTACAAGTATAAACTAATAAGTAAAGATATGATCATAATACGTGTGCATACATAATACAATATACTGTATGTGTATCAACGTTACAAATTGACAAATAAATACATGTATATTATTATAATTATATTATTATAGTATAATATAGTATACACATCTACATGCATTAAATGCTTCTATTGTCTTTTCCTTCCCTCAGGTGATTTGTATCGCAATATATCACTAACATCTGGTACTGTCAACACTGCCATTGTTCCTAACAACATTATCATATCGGGACCAATAGCTGGCTTATTGCATAGGGCTAGTCTCCAGACTCTATTAGCCATTGCCCTCCAGACAGTGTAAGTACATTATGGTAATAATGAATGGGTATAATTGATGCATATATTGCATTAGCAATAACTTGTTATAAACAAGTTATTGCATTAGCAATAACTTGTTTTTAAGGCCGTACTACCGTACAGCTAGAAATATTGAGGGATAATTAATACTAAATTGTTAATATAAAATCTGCCAATTCCTGACTTTTAACAAATCACCATACATGTATATATGACTCTTGCCAATACTTCCGGCTATACGGTATGTTATACCGTATAAGTGGTTTTTTTGAGGATTGAAAATTTTGCGGATTCCTTCCGGATTTGCAAAAATAAAATCTGTGAAAATCAGTTTCACATGGTACCCACATAGTATGGGGTAGAATTTGTCAAATTAAAATCTGCAAATTGGAAATTTAGTAAATTTTGGGAAATATAATTCCCTTGTAAAAAATACTTATACAAGTACTTTGTAATTCACTTTCTCTTTTCTCTTTTTCAGTATCAGTAAGGAGCTATCGACGGACACCATTAGTCTATTGACAGTTATCTGTGACACTCTGTATGGACAGATTGAAGCTGCTGTTGACGTGACTAACCCACACATACAGCAATCATGGATCGACAGGAATGTTAATGATAGCAAAAGAGAAGAAATACTAGGAGGACATTTGTCGTTTCTTAATACTCTTCTGTCGGCCAGTGACGTTCTTTTCAAGTCAGTTTCTAATCCAAAATGGTTTGATTTGTTACTAAGAGTTATCAACATTAACGAGGAGAATGGTAAGCAAGTTAATAATTAATATCAGTTAATAATTAATGATATTAATTATTAAATTAATATTGATAAATTAAATATTTTTTGATTAATATTGATTAGTGGTTTTGCGGGAAGTTTGGGAGAGAAGTGTTGTAATCTGTTGTCTGGCTATTACTCGTATTGTTGTACTTGTTCCGTTTTGGGGATACAGTATGAAATCATACAATGGCCAATAATAGTCTAATAGAATTTGTCATTTTGGTACAATAGAGGACTGTGTTATGGTCTGCATGTACAGTACTAATGTCACGTGTACTGTAGTCGCGTGTGCTTCGACTAATTAGTTTGGATCTAATTATTGCAGATGTAATATTTAATAAGGAAAGACTATCATGTCCATAGCAACTATACTATTGACAGTTAAATGACTTCTGACTGTTTTGCCCTTTCCCCCTCTCTTTTCTTTCCTTGTTCCTCCTCTCTCTCTCTCCCTTATTCTTTCTTTCTTTTTCCCTCTCCTTTTCTCTCCCTCTTTCTCTCTCCCTAGGTCTTCCTAATGTTTCTTCTCTTAAAACAAGATTACTTGCTCTTCAGTTATTAAACATTATCATCAGCAATGATAATAATATTGATAGTAATAATCTAACACAAATCAGCCAGGTACATGTACATGTACTACTAAATTTTATTATTATTATTATTATTATTATTTGTTATTATTTATTATTATTATTATTTGTTAGTATCATTATCATTTATTTTTGTTGTTTAGGTTTTGGATAATTTATTTGGTTTATTGTATAAAGTGATGTTTGTCAGTCCTTTCTCCTCCATTAACAGGAACAGTATTAATAATAACAATAAGAGCAGCAAAGAGGAACATTTTCCTCTACAATTCAGGTAGATGATCATGCACACTAGACCAGAATAAATTATAGATACTGCTTTTATTGTCTTGTAGGATGGAAAGTGGTGCCAATTGTGTGCTTAATGAAGAATACAATAACTTGATATATAAATCAACAACCACTGATCAGCAGTACACAGTCAGTTGGGCTATTGGTACTGCCCCTATCCACAATGGAATATTTACATGGAAGGTACAGTGTACATTCATATGCATATGCAATTATGCATATATACATGTACATGTACATGTATTTTAACATGCATGTCTTCTCTTTTAGGTTACTGCTAAAAGCCCTAATCCTGCCTTTTGTGTTGGATTATGCATTAAACCACTAAATGATGTTCAGGTATTGTTTATTATTATTATTATTATTATTATTATTATTAATTACTATTTTAGGTGCGTAATAGTTCAGAATTGTGGGTCCTAGAGGCTCAGACTGGTATACTCTATCATGATGGTGAGACTGGGTCTGTCCTTAGCTTCACTGTACAGCAGAATGATACTCTCACCATACAATACAACAGCACTCAGAAGACACTTGGGTTTGCCATCAATGATAAAGTAAGAGATTCCATATACACATTACACAATGTAGCAGGTTATTTTGAGGATGACAATTTTTGTGAATGACCTGTATCCGAGGTTCACAAAATTAATTTTCATGAATTTCTACTATTCTGCTATCTTGTACTGTATTAAATTGATTTTTAAGGAATTTAATTTCACGAATTAAAAAAAATCCACGGAATTTACCAAATTTGTTATTCTAAAAAAAACCGCTATACGATATTGTAATAATGTATTGTAATTTTATTTTTATAATTAATAATAATATTTTTACTCTTTCTCTTTTATTTCGCTTGTCACTCCTTCCCTTCCCTGTCTTGTGTAGGAGCTTCAGTTCCCATTTTCTGAAGTGTTGAGTTATGACAGTGACTTATATCCAGTTGTTATCTGCGATAGACCTCACAACAGAACTGAAGTATGACATTGATAATAGTAACAGCAGTACATTGTACATGTAAATAATGTATTACTGTATTGCGGGAAATTTTGGAGGGACTAAAATTTGGCAAATTGCTAAATTTTGGTGATTGGTGAATTTGTGGCTACATGCTAATGAGCATGTGTATAATGACTCAAAATGGCAGATTTTTATTTTGGTGAATTGCTATCAAAACGCCAAATTTGCCAGATTTAATTCCCTTCAAGATTTTCCGCTATACTATATATTTTTATTTAATTTTCTAGCTGTTATTCCATTCGTTCACTACTACTGATAAAGGATCTGGTGCAGGAGCCGGTAGTGATGGGTCCTCTGGTATGATTGAAGAGAAGGTGTCAGGTTATCCTTTACTGGCCCCATCAATGAGTGCTCTCTCTCAGTGTATTGTTAATATAATTCACAAACTGCAGCTGAAGGAAACATGGGGGAGCATCATTAATGAGAAAATTAAAGAAAAGTAAATATAAATAATTATGTATGTACATTGGTGCTATTTGTATGCAGAAATTTTTTAGTTAATTTTGACCTCAAATTTGGAGCGTTTATAACAAGTACCAATTAGAAATTGACTGCAAAATCACCTCCAAATATTTATTACATTTTTTTGATACATGTTCATGCCCTTATGCTGTGTAGTAAATAGAAAGTTTGAACTAATTCCGAGCTCAAATTCTGGAGTTATGAGCACTTTTTAAAAACTAGCCGATTTTGAAAAAAATCATTGACTATAGCCCATGATTTTTTCTGAAAAATGGCTCCAAAATCACCTCAAATTTTTATTACATTTTCTGATACATATTGATGCCCTTATGCTATGTGGAAAATTTGAGCCAATTCTGACTTCAATTTTTTGAGTTATGACCACTTTTAAAAACTCCAAATTTCTAAAAAGTACCCAAGGCTATAGCCCATGGTTTTTTCCAAAAAATGGCTCCGGAATCACACCCAATTTTTATTACATTTTCTGATACATATTGATGTACTTATGCTATATAGAAAGTTTGAGCCAATTCCAACTTCAATTTTTCGAGTTATGACCATTTTTTAAAAACTCCAAATTTCTGAAAAGTACCCAAGGCTATAGCCCATGGTTTTTCCAAAAAATGGCTCCGAAATCACACCCAATTTTTATTACATTTTCTGATACATATTGATGTCCCTGTGCTATGTGGAAATTTTGAGCTGATTCTGAGCACAAATTTTCAAGTTATGAGCACTTTTAACAGTAGCATTGAGTCTTGTCTCCTCATTAGGTTCAATACAATGAATGCTCTTGTTGATCAGCTAATGGCAGCATACACTAACGACACTGACTCATCCAATCCATCTCTGTCCTTTAACGAAACCTGTGGAGAAATAATTAATAACTTTTGCAAGGAGGTGTGGCCTTGTCTTGCCGTTGTGGGCGGAGTCGAGCCTGGTTTTAGAATTGGAGGAGCATGCACAGTTAATAAAGGAGGTGTGGTTACTGAGGGCGTGGTCATTGGCGTCCAGAGAAATGGGAAGATTATTGTACAAGAAGCAAATGAAGGGGATGACAGAGGATTGAAGAATAAGTAAATTATTCTTATTGTATTTATTATTATTTTTTAAAATTACTATTATTATAATAAAAATAAACAAAAACAACAACAAAAAGGAGAGCCCTACAACAAATTTAGAAAATTTAGTTAATATTATTATTATTATTATTATTATTATTATTATTATTATTATTTATTAATTAATTAATCTTAAATTTTATTATTATTTAGAGATAGAGATTTCTCCAATCTGAGGTTACTCTCTCCCTCTAATTTCACATTCCCTCCTGACGTGATGGAGTACATTAACAATACCACACTGATTAACTTATCATTATTATCCGGACTACACTATAACCCACACTCCCTCTCATCTATAATATGTAAGTGGAAATAATAATAATAATAATAATAATAATAATAATAATAATAAATTAGCTTTATTATTTGAGAGAGTTTAATTTATAATAAAGTGATTTTTTAAAGAATAAAATAATTATTATTGTTTTAATTTTTTCTTATAGCGAGTTTAAAATCTCCTCCAGAAGCTGATGGTAGCACCTCTCCCACTGACAATACATGTACATGTACCTCTTTACCCTCGTACATGAGATGGATGGAGCATTGGATCCGATTCTATTCATTAAAGACACTTGAAGCTATCATGAATAATGATGAGTTTAATAAGCTCCTCCTACTGTCGACCACGCCCACTTTAAGTGGTCTTGATGAGAAGAAAGAAATCATCATTAACATAATGAAGTAAGAGCTAGAGAATATTATTTATTAATTCATTAATTTACATGTATTTATTTACAATGTACATGTATTTATTTATTTCTTTATTTATTCTTTA